CCGACACTTCTGGAGCCCATCTGTTGTTTGGGGCATAAAACTCAAATAAAACGCCGACTATGTACCCTCCTATTTATAAAAAGGCAAGATAATAAAGACTCAAGCAATCGCACACACACACACAAACACATATATAAATAATATATATGATATACACAGAAATAAACACAGACTGTTTAGTATTAGAATATCAGTCTCTCATATTGTAATAATACCGGAAAATATGAAAGTGAAAACATTTAGTCTTTGCAGAAAACGGACTAAATCTATATAAATCTCTGCGGGTAAGTACTGTATATGACGGCATATAAGGCTCACTTTTTTTTTTTATTAAAAATATCTCTTAAAATTCCCCTGCGTCTTATATGTCATATGTAGGTTTAAAATTAACGACAGTCGGCTGAAATTAGCTACCTGGCAACTCCTAGACTTTAGTGTAACTTTCATATACCTATTGTCAAAATGCAGATTAAAATGCAGATTATTTAAAATACAGATTTAATGCAGATTAAAAGTTTTATTGATAATATTCATTATATTAATTTTATCACGTTTAATATTAGTACTTTGTTTCACTAAAATTATATGCAATAAATTCAAATTATTTATTTGTAAAATTTGTTTCATTAATATTTTTCTTGCAAAAACTTTCAGTTGCATTGATATAAATACAATCAGAATTTTTATATCCTAATTATTCCACTAAGACATTTACAAGACGCAGATTGTACAGATCATATAAAGGAAAATTTTTGACTGAATTTTAATGCTAAAACTGTACTGTTTTGCTCAATTGTAATAATTGCTTGATTTTTATTTTGTTTTCTTATCTTTGGATATAATAAAGTTTTTATAGGCTCGTGTTTTTCCCCTATTATTTTTCGTTTAATTGTAATCATGACTTGTTTAACCAAAATAATACCTCATAAATATAGTCTAGGCTATACCATTTACTAATAATTTTACTAATTTTACTAAATACTAATTTTTTCTTGATTTGTCCTGTGGAAATTGGAGTGCGTCTTATACACCCATGCGTCTTATATGCCGTCAAATATGGTAATAACAATTATCACCTCTGATATAGAACAAACAGGCGGATAGATACTCTCTTGCGTCTGGACATTGGAGGTTATAAGATGTTTAATTTAATTTCATTTCTGGTTACAATCTGATCCTCAGAGATACCAAGGCATTTTTCCTCACATAGTTTTGTCTTTCTTTCATTCTAACCTGAGGAAGTCAGAGGAAGCAGACTGCGCAGTCTCGGCGAAACGCGCCGTTAATAAATTTTCCACTTTGTCTGACCATCTTCATTTTTGTTTCGGATACTATTATACATGTTATCGGACTGGAGGGATCGATCCCAGCGTGCGATACATTTGGAAGGTGCTTGAAAACCATACTACGGGTTGACCCAAGCCTTGTAAGTGAAATTGGGTAGACAGAAGAGAATATATTATTAAATATAACAGACAATGAATGTTTGATCATGAGCTGTTCTAATGTCGGTAGCTGTGTTAGCCCGAAGTCACAAGTCATCGTGGCCGCTTGAGCGTGCTGGCCTTGTTCAAATTGCTGACCACGTTAGATAACACGCTATTTCCCAGAAACTGTAACTAAGGTCTGCTCAGCATAGTTGCAGTATAAACCACAGGTGAGCCTGAGCAAGCGTCTGCAATAGGGATTGGCGAGAATATGATTCGCCAGCTATATATATATATATATATATATATATATATATATATATATATAGTTTATAAAAAAAAATAGGTAATCTGTATGAGTAAACCTAAGGAGGATAAAATCCAGAGAGCTCAATGTAAATCCAGAGCAAATAATATAAATAAAAACAGACCACTTTAAGGTTCCATGGACCCTTAAAGTGGTCTGTTTTTATTTTATATATATATATATATATATATATATATATATTGAAGATAAATAAACATGATTTTCTGGTCATTTTGGTTCAGTTGCGTTGTCCTATAGACAGGAATCAGCTTTAGAACAGTCTACATTTTGTTCGTACCAAACATTCGCTTCTGATGATGCAAGATGAGCTTGGTCGCCGACGCATTTCATCGTCATTATTCAATAATGAAGATTTGAAAGGTAACTTGTGGAAACTCCTCCAGAAAAAAAAATACATTTGAATGTTGGAAGTCCATACAAGCCCCGTGAAGCATCTGGCTTAAATCGGCAAAATACAAATAAAAAGTACAAAAGTAGATACTCCAACGTTTTGATCAGCAGTTTGCACGATTTGACACTTTCTGTGAGTTACATGTTCCTTTTAAAAATTACCCTTTTCTTAGATTCCATATTTATGACTTCTGTAGTTAAACTAAATACATTTTCTAATAAATATAACAGTTTAAATGGGCAAACAATTTTCATTTGGATTATCTTGCCATAAGTCGAGCGACGGGTAACTAACAAGTAAATAACGAGGATAACAACAAAATTATACACACATATCTTTAGGCTTGTCACACTGTCTTCTGGTCATGCGTGCTACTGTGTTCATGTGATTGAAGTTTGAAGTTGATCGCG